ATTCGACAGAAGGCAGACAGTTAGATCTTTTACTTACATGTGAAATTCCATTTATCTATCAAAAACAGTATTCAAGTTGTAGGCTTTTGAAAAATTGAAAGTAGAATAAGTTCCACTTCCGGTCAGTGGCGGAACTAGAAATCAAAGGCTCCCCCGCAAAGAAAAAACTAGGGCCCCCCTATATATGATTGTAGGAAAAAAAGTCACAGGAAAAAAAAACACAGGAAAAAAAAACACAGAAAAAAAGTCACAGGAAAAAAAGTCACAGGAAAAAAAGTCACAAATATATATTTGCGTGATATTTGTTATTACTTTTATGTATTAAATATTTAGAGAGTGCAAATTAACTTAGGATTAATTAAATGTTATGTAATGTGTGTAGGCTGTATACACATAGGAATTTTTATAATCCATCTAAAAATATTTAGTATAAAGTATGTAGATTGTAATTATGTTAAAATTAAGATTAGTAGCATTTAATAGAATGTTCCTAAGTCCACCGTTTTCATCGTGTTTTTTTTTTAAATACCAATATTAAATTACCGTGAAATGGTAGATCATCTGACTTGCTGCTCTCAACTCATGGCAACAATAGTTATGTTTAGTTCAACCACCTTTACTACCCACATTTAACACGCTCATTACATAACAAAACTTAGGATCAAAACAGAAGACAAGGTTCAAGGGCTGTCAACAACACAAAATATGTTCGGACAATGCCTACTGAGGAGAGGCCGACCAGAGAATAGCCTACGGCAAAGTTTGCCTAATTTTTTTTTATAATTAACTTTTCTACCGTGTATTTAACTAAATTCGTAACAAAAGTTGAGATTGTTGTGTAAATTATCTTAGAGTATTTTTACTTACAATTGTTATAAACCATAATGCTTTTAACGTCTATAAATAATTTATTTTATAAAAAAATACAACCCACAACAATAAACATACAAAATTTCACAATTCTTAACAAATAAATAAAAATATTTCTAAAATGATCTTTGTGACTTTTTTTCTGTGACTTTATTTCTGTGACTTTTTTTCCGATAAAAATTTTCCACTGTGACTTTTTTTCTGTGACTTTTTTTCCTAGCAAAAACTGTGACTTTTTTTCTGTGTTTTTTTTTTCCTGTGACTTTTTTTCCGTTTACCCTATATATATATATATATATATATATATATATATATATATATATATATATATATATATATATATATATATATATATATATATATAATCTTTATCCTCTATGAGTTATTTAGTCTACTTCATTGCAATATATAACCATTCTGAAAGAACAAACCAGAAAAAATTTGGTCCAAACTAATATTGAGTCATTAGTATCCGAAATTTACTGGTCAAAAATATATAAAGACGTTAGGTTGATTCGTGAATGGTTTCTCGCATTACGTTTATTTTTTTCATTTTTGGCTTTTATAATAGCAATTTTGAAAACATTAATTTTTGTATCTATACTATTGTATAGTACGTCTTATTTAAGTAACAATTCAAAGAATCAATTGCTTTTTAATTTACATAGTACAGAACTATTAAAATAAGCTTCGTGGGCATCCCTATTTTAAAGAAGGGCAGTAAGTCATGCAAGTAGTGTGAATGTTTACCTACCTTTCAAACTATAGCTCTTGTAGATTTTAAAATATTTTTCTACGCAACAATCTCTGCTATAGTAGACCTGTTTTTTTTTTTTACAAAACCACTTTCAAGATGCATGAAAAACATAATTTTTGAAAAAAAAATCATTGCTTTTTGGTCGGAACTGGGCCCCTAAACGTCCTGCCCCCCCCCCCCCCCCCCCCCCCGGATTGCGGGGTCTGGCGGTATGGTAGTTCCGCCCCTGCTTCCGGTAATCGAAAATCGATGAAAAGTTGTTACAGATCTACAAATTTGATATAATACTTATATATGCAATTTCATCAACCTAGCTATAACGGTACTCAAGTTATCTTTTTCACAGACACAAATGCACATACACACACACATACACACACAAAACACAAACATACGGACAAAATTGCCAAACCATGTTTTTCCGACTCAGGGAGGTGTAATTTTGATTTATTTTTTTGCACGATTACAATACTTCCT